ATCAGCTGCTCTGTCAAGGCTCATGTTTAAGTATGGAGATGATCCTTTGATAGCTGTTCACATTGTTTACTGTAAGCATCTGTATATATCTTTTCTGCACCATTTAATATCGTGTTTATGCATTCAAAATCTGGTGCAATTAACCTGGATTATGTTGTAAAATGAATAGTTAACATTAAAGTCCAAGTTTAGTCAAAACGTAAAAAAAAAAATCAACACAAGGACATTACTTACTACCAGTGCTAAGTGTCCCTTGTGCTGCTTTTGTTGAAATCTTCAGTCTTCTGATCACCCCTACCCTTGCAGCTATCATAATTTTTAGGAACTGCAGGGGTTAATAGAGCTAAGGGGCCTATGACAGATACTTATCATGAGTGCCAACTATGCCCATCCTTTCCTCCCACCTCCTCCATTCGTAGACGCTGTACAGCCCACAACCACTTATACAAATGAAAAGAGCTCTATAAATGGAGGATGGGCAGATAAATGGAAAGTCCAACTCCTCTATTTATAGAAGCCATAATATAGCTTCTGTGGATGGAAAGAGTTCTATGAATGGAGGATGAGGGAATGAATGAAAGGTTCACCTCTTCCATTTAGGATAGCTTTTTGGCCTTTTGGCTAAGATCAAGTGTAGGATCTTTTTTTTATCAGTGTCCAGATGGTCTATCGTCATTCTGGCCATTAGGTTAGGATGGCTGGCTGCATAGTATCCCTGGTGGTATGATGGCGGGAGTAAGGGATCCTCCTTGTGGGATGGAATTCCAACTGAGTGTTCGCCACGTAAGTTGGAGGTCAGTAGTACTTCCCTAGTGTGGGGGATTCTGAGATGTCCAGTGCCTCCTGATTAGAGTGGTGCAACCTTGCCAGGTCAGAGGTTGGGAACGCAGAGAGCCTGCGGTACTTAGCACCCCCTGAGAGTGATGTCTTGGGGCTTTGAGTATTATTATTATACTTTGGGACCAGACTGTGAGAAAAGGCTCTCAGCCACAGCACCACAACTTTTTTTACTGCACAACACCCATGGGCAGGGAGGGTGGGAAAGGAATATGAATTTTAGTTTAAAAATCAGTCTGAAACACCTAAATGTGAATTGGTGCTGCAACTGGAATTACAGAGGGTTACAGGTTTCTAAAATCATGTTGGAGGCATGTTAATTGTCAGATACAGATAGTCTGACGGGAAGTTTTTGTGAATGTTTTAATTACACATAGGATTTGTCTGGCCATCCAGAGTTAATTCCTTAGTTTGGTTTTCTGACTTTAGCTTTCTAAAGTCCACGATTCCCTGTACAGGGATTTCCCTTCGCTAAGTGTTTACAATTGACCTAACTCCCTGTAAGCCTTGCTTGTTAATAAATGTTGACATCCAGTTACACAATCAAAGCTTTATGTTGGGGTCAGTCTCAAAGGATTGCTTTAGGAAAATAGCATGTTAGTGAAACCTTGAACCAATTTCTTCCCAGATTTCTTCTTAGCTAATCACAAATCCCAAACTGGCCTATTAAAGGGCAACTGGTAAAATTCTGCAGGAAAAAGCATGTATAGATTAGGGAATTGGTGTTAGATTTCCTGTTATGTGATGTCTCATTTAATAACCCAGAATTGTAATTTAATAGGTGGATAGAAGATCTGTAATGATGGTAAGAGGAACCATTGCACGCAATTAAAGTCCTAAAGGCACAGCATTAGAAAACTTAGCTCTTCATGAAGCCTACAGGGGTTGTGGGTGGATCATGATGAATAAGGTGGAATTCCAAGCAAATCCTCACTGTTGTAAGCAAAACGTTCTGTTTCCCCTTTCAGAAGCACGTTCCATTTATTCTTTTCCACCTGCAACTGGGGTCATTGGTTCCCTATTTATATTAATTTTTAAATACAGAGTACATCCTTATAACTGGATTCACAGAGAATTATGGGCTTTCTAAAGACAAGACACACAGAAACTGATTAATTTCAGACTCTCTCCCTAATTCCAATGAGGTAGGGGGAAGAGTCAATGCTCTGATCGTTTACTTCTGTGGACCAACTGGGGCTAAGCTATGGATCTGTGTAAATAGCAGGCTTTCATTAAAGTGTATTTCCACTATAGCAGCCAAATTGAGATAACACCTACTTTATATTTGTCACATATTTCCGTTTGCAAAACTTTTTATTTTGTAGCTTACATTTACACAAAAACCTAACTTTTCCAAACTATGTAATGTTAACCACTTCCGTTTATAGACATGGGCCAGACAGGAGCAGTGCCAAAGCGGGTTGCTGTTTATAAAGGGCCCCCGCATTCACTAACTGTGCGTGCTCCCTGGGATCGAGCGGCACCGCGATCCAGTGCCCACTGTGTTCGGAGGACACAGCAGAACACCAATCGCTGTATGATACCTCTCTGTGAGGTCCCAATTCATGTGATCCCTGATTGGCCAATCAGTGATCACATGAATAGTAGTAAGCAAGATGTCACTTCCTGACACCATTGCTTACCACTTGTGAAATCTATGAATGATCACAGAGGTCACATGGTACAAGGCTATTCACAACAGCCTTGTACCATGTGACAAGCTGTGACCAATCAGAGCTCTCACAGTATTTCTCAATGGCTGCAAGAATGCAGCCAGAGAAGGAGAAATTATTGCTTTTACAGCCTTTATGGGTGTAAAAGCAATCAGTGTAAAAAAAAAATTAAAAATCTTCATCACTCCCAAGTAGTGCTAGGGTGACGGTATGTAAGAAAAAAACAAAACCCATAAATAATAATAAAAAAAATAAAATAAAAATGTAAAAAAAATTTTTTTTTAAATTATAATTTTTGGTTATAAACTAATTTGGGTTTTTTTTTTTTTTTTTTACTAAAAAGATAACTAAATACATTTTGGCCAAGATCTATGATGAAAGATTATTTATTTGCAAAATTCTATAAGAAAAACACTTTTTTAAAAAATATTTGGACTTTTTCATTTATATAGCATAAAAAAAAAAAATCCCAGTAGTGAATAAATACCTCCAAAATAAAGTTTTATCTGTCTCAAAAAATATTAAAATATTCATATGGGTACAGTGTTGCATGACCATGCAATTGTCATTCAAAGTGTGATAACTGAAAGCTGAAAATTGGCCTGGACAGGAAGGGGGTGAAAGTGTCCGGACTTGAAGTGGTTAAGGAAGGGGCTGGGAATGTAAAGTTGTGGTAAACCACTGCTTTTCATAAAAAACAAAATCCCCTGCAAGGCATAAAGTGCTAACATAAATCACATTCTAGCATATTATCAATGACGCATTTCCGGTTCATTTGCCTTACATCTGACGTCACTTCTGGTGAGTGGAACGCACGCTGAGCGGTGCGTTCCAGCGGCCATTTTGCGGGATTTAGGCTGGTTCTCTGCTGTTCCTCTGCTCTATCTGGCTACATTGGTGTGGGAACCCTGGAGTATGTTGGCTGGTTTTGATCATCAGGCTGTCATGGGCTTAATAAATGTGCCTTTTACAAGCTATTGAAATGTGAGTGGCCTGGATTCTGTTCGTTATGGTATAAGATTGATCTGGCAATATTACACTATGTAAGTTTTTCTCTTTGATGATACGGTGGAGCAAACTAGGGAGCCACGGTGAGGACCTGAAAGAGGATCTTATCTTGGAGAGGCTATCATTGAGCTGATGAAAAGAGGGTATAGGATTCCCCATAAAATCCTAAAGGCTTTTCATTCACCAAAATCTGGTGAGTGCATTTGATTTTGGTGTGCAAGGGTGAAAGGTGGAAGGCTAGAAAAATTATTTGGAGTTCGTATTTTTCACCACAAGGGACTTTTTATGGTGTCCTTTTTTTGAAAACTTTTTCTGATACAGATATGCACATATTGATATGGAACAGTTATATTTTGTGATTTATTAATACTTGATTTCATGTCTATTTTGCGCTGTTTATTTAAATATTTCATTGTTTGAGTATTCACATTTTTTGCACAGCAGCAATTTGGAAGGGTGAGTCACTTAATTTGTATTTGGCGCAGGAATATCTTTCTTTTTTTTTTTTTTTTTTAAATACTTACCCTAGAACAAAGCTAGCAGGGCACTGTCACTGCTGACAGGGCTTCCATCTTCGAACAGTCTTGCTGCTGGGGTTGCTGGCTCCAGTTCTTTGAATGGCAGAGCTGCGATGACGTCACTCCATATTTACGGTGTAACATGTTCAGCTTCTTCCCTTTCAAACCCCCTTAACCCATGACAGAGGGCAGGGGTTCTTCTTGCCCACACAGCTGAATCATTAATTCACAGGAATCTATGAATGAATGAACAAGTCCTGTTCTCTACCACAGCAGATGGCTTATAGTTCTCAGTGAACTACTGGGGCAATGATCAGCGCCCTTGTAGTTTACTGACACTTCTTACAGCTCTGTCTGTCCATACAGAGGTACGGGCAGAGAGCTGTCAGCAGTGTTTGCAGGAGCCTGACATTGCACTTGCGATCCACTGATCACAAGTGCAAAGCTTTACAAGTACCAATGTAATAAAAGAATAAATCTACATTTTTATCTGCAAAATAATATGCACATTTTTTCAACACAGGAATCACTGTTTACGGCACACAGCTCTGACATGGGTATGCCGTCCCGGCTGCATCTGTTATGAATATCCCCTAAACACTGCAAGTTTAGGAGATAATTACTGTATCTACAGGTAGGCATCACCTATAGGTAAAACCTCCAAAGCAGAGTTTACTACCGCTTTAAGGTGTTTCTAAACTTGAAAACAAAATTGTTATATATTGCCAAGTATTTGGCATGTGGTTGCAGTGTAGTCCCATTGATCTCAGTGGGCGAGTTTAACAGACAGTGCCACCTGTCAAACCCTGCAGCCTGAGTTAAACAGAAAGCAATGCGGCCATGGCATGTGTGCAGCTCCATCAGACTGTAATGTTAGCATACAAATGGGTGGCCAGAGGGAGGTAAAGTTGCAGCTCAGCCTTTAGTGTGGCTATACCAAGGGCGGACTGACAACTCATGGGGCCCCCGGACAATAGGGGATCATGGGGCCCCTGTGTCCTTGCCCAAACTCAAAAAAGCCTATGAAAAAGGTACCAGGGGCATCTCATGGGGCCCCCTACTGACCCCGGGCCCTCGGGCAGTGCCCGAGTTTCCAAATGGTCAGTCTGTACAGGGGATTACAAGCGGCTGATACCAAGTTAGGCAAGTATATAATACAATTTATACATTTATTTTTTGTTTTTTCTTTTGTTTTTTTTCTTTTTATCTGCTTAGAGTTCAGCTTTAACATCACTCTTCCAAAACTCCCTAAAAACTTCTTTGCTAAAAAATAAAGTGCAACGTCTATCTTTTCTACCGCCCTACTGGGCAGCATATCATTCTCTCCAAAACTACAGGTGTTCTTTATTAGTCAATATAAACGTACCATAGCTTCGGTTTTGATAAATGAAGGAAAATGTAAATATATTTTTGTAAATGCTTTCATGACTAATGGTCTTAACAAATAATTGTAAGTAAATGCCTTTTATGGACGGCCCATATTGTTCTTGGTAATTACAGACTGCAATGCAATAATTCGATTCTACCTTTACTCACACACTCCCTTTATTAGGCCGGACAAGACTCCCGCAGTTTTCTAAGTGGAACTGATTCCCACACAGACATAAACTGGCCCACACACAGTCAGAATTATATCAGGGCCTGAAATCATTCTCTTAGAAGTGTGCTTACTGCTTTTGTTAGTTAATTAAGACAATATTAGTTCCGGATGGACACCACACCCTCAAAAGCCTTGGGAGTGTATTCATTAACTTGCCTGATGGGAAATATAATTGCTAAATGAAGAGGCAAGGGTTCTTTTATTCATCCCCATAGCTGGCAAGTTATAGGTTATTGTTTGCTTTCATTTAAGTGACTATGTGGAAAAATGTTTTAAAGTCCAAAATAATTCCCAACTGTGAGTAGAGACCAGTAGACCAGCATATGATCTATTTGTATTAAACACATTTAAAAGATATTCAGTCTGCAGACATGATAAGATCCTTAGAGAAAATGAAACAAATAATGAATTTGGTATCTGTATCAGGATAGAGTAGGGACCATTGCCAGTTAATTAATTTATTTTAGCTCTCTGTATCCCATTTGGGAGATTTGCCGTTACTTTCTGACCCAGAGATGGAACGGGAAGTGAGAAGAATACTATCAAGTAAATTTCTTTTCAGTTGACACTGGAACAGGTGACAACTGGAAGATTTAGAAATCATGTGCACTGGGTGTTTAGCCCTGATGCTTGAGGGTACCGTGTTCAACTGTGGTCGAAGGGCTCAGGTGCACCGTTCAACTGCTTCTGGCAGCCTGTCAAACTCCATGCAAGTCTGACAGCTGCTGCTGCTGGATGGGGCTTGGTGGCACTCACTATATCTGATCTCCCACCCGCAGTACACAGAACATGGAAAAGCAATTATTTTAGTAAATATAAACTTCTAAATACCTTTTCTCATCAGCAGTTAGAGCAGTCTTGTGGCTTTTATCAGTGTCCAGATCAGCACAGGTTAAAGCATGTGGGAGGAGTTTTTATTCTCCTCTCACTTTCCTTTGAGACTGCAGGACCCCTGACCCTCTGTCTGGACAGTGCTGATTGGCCCTGTGCTGATCACATGCACTGTCCCAAGAAAAAAAAAAACTCTCAAGCAATACACACCAAACTGAGCATGTGCAGCTTGCCCCCAAGGCTATGCTTTATCAGGAGATGAGTTAGGGACTGTGGAAGAAAGAAGGATCAGAGAAGACAGGATTAAACATCCTCTTTACACATTGCAAAGATTAATCCCTTAAGTTCCACAGTGAGTATAACAAGCATACTTTACTTCATATACAGACTGATTTTACTGTTGTGGGTTTAGTAACACTTTAAGGTAAACAAATCACCCAGTCCAGATGGCTTACATCCATGAGTCCTTTGGGAACTCAGTTATAGCCAAGGTGCTATTTCTATTTAAAGTCACCTTACTGAATGGAATAGTACCAACTGATTGGTGTAGAGCAAATGTGGTACCAATTTACAAAAAAGGATTGAGATTTATACTAGGCAACAACAGACCAGTCAGCCTAACAGCAATAGTATGTAAGGTACAGTTGCAAGAAAAAGTATGTGAACCCCTTGGGATTACGTGGAGTTTTGCATGAATTGGGCAAAAAATGTGCTCTGAACGTCATCTATGTCACAACAATAGAAGAACACAGTCTGCTGAACATAATACTACACAAACATTAGATGTTGCCATGGTTTAATTGCACATAACATGTAAACATTCACAGTGCAGGGAGGAAAAAGTATGTGAGGCCCTAGTTTAATGACTTCTCCCAGAGCTAATTGAAGCCAGGAGTGAGCCAACCTTGACTCCAATCAGTGTGATGATATTGGATGTGTTGCTGACAGCTGTCCTGCCCTTAAAAAACACACACCTGTTTTGGGTTTACTGGTTTCAAGAAGCACTGTCTGATGTGAACCATGCCTCGCAGAAAAGAGCTCTCAGAAGACCTACGATCAAGAATTGTTGACTTGCATGAAGCTGGAAAGGGTTACAAAAGTATCTCCAAAAGCCTTGATGTTCATGTGTCCACGGTAAGACAGACTGTCTACAAATGGAGAAAGTTTACCACTGTTGCTACTCTCCCTAGGCGTGGTCATCCTGTAAAAATGACTGCAAGAGCACAGCGCAGAATGCTGCATGAGGTAAAGAAGAATCCCAGAGTGTCAGCTAAAGACCTACAGAAATCTCTGACACATGCTAACATTTTTGTTGACACATCTACAAGAAGGAAAACATTAAACAAGAATGGAGTACATGGGAGGACACCATGGAGGAAGCCATTGCTGTCCAAAAAGAATATTGCAGCACGTTTGAAGTTTGCAAAAGAGCACCTGGATGTTCCACAGCACTACTGGCAAAATATACTGTGGACAGATGAAACCAAGATTGAGTTGTTTGGGAAGAACACACAACACTATGTGTGGAGAAAAAAAGGCACAGCACACCAACATCAAAACCTCATCCCCACTGTAAAACATGGCGGAGGGAGCATCATGGTTTGGGGCTGCTTTGCTGCCTTACGGCCTGGACGGATTGTTGTCATTGATGGGAAAATGAATTCCAGAGTTTTTCAAGACATTTTGCAGGAAAACGTTTGACCATCTGTCCGCCGACTGAAGCTCCGCAGAGGATGGGTGATGCAACAGGACAATGACCCAAAGCATACAAGTAATTCAACGAAACAATGGCTGCAACAGCACAGAATACGCCTTCTGGAGTGGCCCAGTCAGAGTCCTGACCTCAACCCGATTGAAATGCTGTGGCATGACCTTAAGAGAGCGATTCACACCAGACATCCCAAGAATATTGCTACACTGAAACAGTTTTGTGAAGAGGAGTGGTCCAAAATTACTCCAGATCATTGTGCAGGTCTGATCTGCAACTACAGGAAACGTTTGTTTGAGGTTATTGCTGCCAAAGGAGGGTCAACCAGTTATTAAGTCCAAAGGTTCACATACTTTTTCCTCCCTGCACTGTGAATGTTTACATGTTATGTGCAATTAAACCATGGCAACATCTAATGTTTGTGTAGTATTATGTTCAGCAGACTGTGTTCTTCTATTGTTGTGACTTAGATGACGTTCAGAGTGCATTTTATGCCCAATTCATGCAAAACTCCACGTAATCCCAAAAGGTTCACATACTTTTTCTTGCAACTGTATATGAGGGAATGGTAATTTCTATACAGAAATCTGACCGCGATAAAGGTATCATAGGTGACAACCAGCATGGATTCATAAAAGGTCGTTGTTGTCAGACCAACCTGGTAGGCTACGTGCATACCTGCAAATGCAACTGACACCTATTACATGCAACAACCCCAGTTACCAGTGATTAGCTGTTGGAGACAGAAACACTAAAAGCAAAGGGAGGCTGCCGGCTTCACAGCTATGCAGCCATTTGCATGTAATCGCTCATGCAGTGATCACATGCGAATGATTGTTCCTGGACATAAACTGCCTGCATCCAAAGCCAATCACTTGCAGGAAATTGCTGCATGAGCAGGGGCGGACTGACAACTCATGGGGCCCCTGGGCAATAGGGGATCATGGGGCCCATATGCCCTTGCCCAAACTCAAAAAAGCCTATGAAAAAGGTACCAGGGGCATCTCATGGGGCCCCCTACTGACCCCAGGCCCTCAGGCAGTGCCCGAGTTTCCAAATGGTCAGTCCACCCCTGTACATGAGCGATTACATCTGAGTGGCCATGATTAGCTGAGGGAGCCCGCAGCCTCCCATTGCTTTCATTGGGGCTACCCATCCGCAGTTAGTTGCCAGGAACCCCCGCTGATGTTTTCGCATGTAATCAGTGTTGGGCCCTTTTGCAGGTGTGAATGTGGTCTTATTGTACTATGAGGAAGTAAGTGAGGAATTGGATGGTGGAAGTCCAGTTTATCTAGATTTGGAAGTCTACTTTATCTAGATTTTGCTAAGGCATTTGAAACTCTGCCTTATAAATATTTCATCTATAAAATAAGGTCAGTTTGAGTTGATGAAGTTGTATGTATGTGGATAGGAAACAGGAACAGGTCCAGAGAGTACTGATCAATGACTATGAATGGTCTAAAATTGTGAATGGTGTGCCCCAAGGTTCTGTTATGTAGCCATGTTGTTCAATTTGTACACATGGAAAATACAAATTAGGAGGGGTTCCCCTGGGACAATCAGTGAAGGAAAATGATCTGGGGATGATTGTGGATCACAGACTTATCAATAACATGCAATGTCAGACTGCAGCTAACAAAATACTGTCTTCCATTAAAAAGGGCACACATTTCAAAGATAAATCAATAATTCAACTCCTTTACAAAACACTGGTTTAGCCTCATCTTGAATATACACAGTTCAGTATTGGTTAACGATCATCAGGAAAGAGTTCAGTGAAGGGCAACAAAACTAGTAAGGAGGATGGAGGACCTCAGCTATGAGATTACATAGATTACAGTTATTAAATCTGGAGTAGAGGTGCTTAATACTTACGATGTACAAATACTGTATATCAAAGGTGACTTCAATAACTCTTACCCAGGTGAAGAAAGGAGGTTTTAACTTAAATTGAGGAAAGGGTTCTTTACTGTTAGAGCAATAAGAATTTAGAACTCCCTCCCTTAGGAAGTCGTAATATCTAAGAGTGTCAACAACTTCAAAATGTTTTAGAAGTCTTTCTCAGGAAGCTGAATATACAGGGCTATGAGAATGGTTAAAGAATAAAAACACACACACACACACACACA